GAATAATAATAAAATGCACAAAAACAGAAAAATAAATAAAAATAAGATGCACCAAAACAGAAAAATAATAATTGACAGAGATTCTTAAACTGACTTCCTAGAGCCTATTGATATTATTCAAACTCAGCGTTGATTTAAATGGTTTTATCATTGAATGTGACAGCCCATGGTGATAAGACTCTTTAAAAATAGACATGTTTTATCAAGTACAAATAATAGTTCAGAATAAAAAAGAAAAGGTAAAACAAAAACAAAACATTATATTGGACTGAAGTAGTATTTACTGAAACATTATTGTTACTTGCAGTTTTCCTCTGACACAAAAACTAAACTAAATATTTCAGTCTTGAGTTTTTATTTTCATGACTAGAGTGTTTTCAGTTGACATTCGTTCCGGTAAGAATACACATGGCAGTTTTTCATTTATGTCATGGTGTGTTAAGATATCTTTTTATTATTGGTTGACATATATTTACATATATGTATACGCATACACATGCATATACGTATCTATCTATCTGTGTGTGTGTGTGTTTGTGTGTGTGTGTGTGTGTGTATGTGTGTGTGTGTGTGTGTGTGTGTGTGTGTGTGTGTGTGTGTGTGTGTGTGTGTGTGTGTGTGTGTGTGTGTGAATAAATAGACAATCTTTATGTATGTATATACATATATGCATATATAGATAGATAGATAGAGCGAGAGAGAAAGAGATAGAGATAGATAGATAGATAGATAGATAGATAGAGAGATAGAGATAGATAGATAGATAAATAGACAGATAAACAGAGATAGATAGATAGATAAATGGATAGATAGAGAGAGAGAGAGAGAGAGAGAGAGAGAGAGAAAGAGAGAGAGAGAGAGAGAGAGAGAGAGAGAGAGAGAGAGAGAGAGAGAGAGAGAGAGAGAGAGAGAGAGAGAGAGAGAGAGAGAGAGAGAGAGAGAGAGAGAGACAGGAGGAAGAAAGAAAATTCCTAATATCTGCATAGAGTTCAGCAAAGACTTCTCTCTCCCTTCCCAGATCCCTTTCCCATCACATCGTTCATCATTATCATCATCACACCATATCATTACATGTTCCATCTCTTTTTTTTGTGTTTTTTAGTCTCACACGACACTATCTCATCTTCCATCTCTCTCTGTCTCACACAACTATCACATCCTTCAATATTTCACACTTTTATGTACTACTTACTTACTTACATAAATACAAACTACTTACATTTTATATCCTTACCATTTCTACTATATTACTGTACTATACTACTAGTACTATACTACTTATATGCTACTTACATTTGATATATTACTTACATCTTACCTATAAACTACTTACATCTAACATATTATTTACATCTTTCATACAAACTACTAACATCTAACATATTACTTACATCTTTCTTATAAACTACTTACATTTAACATATTACTTACATCTTACTTATAAACTACTTACATCTAAAATATCACTTACATCTTCCTATCTACATACTACTACATATTACTTACATCTTACTTACAAACTACTTACATCTTGCTATTGTTACATTTTTTTTTTAACTTTGACTTCACACTCTCAAAACTTTCATCTTTTTCACTATATCAAATTTAGTCTTTTTTTTTCTCTCACTTCCTCTTCTCTCAATTTCGTCACTTCTACGTCTTTTATATCTTTCTCCCTCTTACATCTCTCTTTTTTTTATCATTTTCATTCTCTCATCTTTCTCATTCTGAAATCTTTATTCTTTCATTTTTCTGACTCTCTGATCTTTATTTTCATTTGTTTCAGTTTTCTCACTCTTTCTTTTTTTCTCGCTCTCTCATCTTTATTTTTATTTACTTTTATCTTTATTTTGATTTTTTTTTTTTCATTTTTCTCACTCTTTTTTTATCTTCTTTATTTTCATAATTTTCATCTTTCTCATTCTCCCATTTTTGTCTCTCTCTCATCTCTTATTGTTTCCTTATTTCTTATCTGTTTCTCTCTCACTTCTCCCCTCTTTCTCATCTCCCTCATTCTTATCTTTGCCACTCTTACGTCTTTCATATTTTTCATCTTCGTTTCTTTCCTATCTTAATTTCTTCATTTTTTTCTATCTCACATAATTCATTTTTTTCATTGTTATTTTTTTTTCATTCTCACTTCTTCCATCTTTCTCGTCTTCCTCATTCTTATCTTTTTTACTCTCAACGCTTTTATTTTTTACTCTTTCATCTCTCTCTCTCTCTCTCGTCTTTGCCATTCTCATTTCTTCCGTCTTTCTCATTTCCCTCATTTTCATATTTCTTATTTTTCTCACTCTCTTATCTGTCCCACTCTCACTTTTTTTTTCTTTTTTGTCTTCCTCATCTTTGCCACATTCACTTCTTCCATATCCTCATATTTCTCATCTCTCTCATTCTCTTTATTTTTTTCATATTTCAAATTCTTTTCTCACTCTGACCTATATATTCTCTCTCTCTCTCTCTCTCTCTCTCTCTCTTCCATTTCTCTTACTATCTCTCTCTCTCTTCCACCTCTCTCTCTCTCTTCCATCTCTCTCCTTTCACCCCCCCCATCTCTCACACACCCCTCTCCCCCACCCCCTTCTCTCCCTCCTCCCCCTCGCTCCCGGC